GTCCATTTTGTCCTTTGATCCCTGTTAATGAAGTCAGCTCATTGTAGTAATTCTGTACATATGCGATTTACATTTACATGTTGATGCCTGTCTGTGGTTCAGTTCCCCCTGGAGCCAGCTATCTGGGTTGCAGTGAAGAGATGCTCGCCATCCGTATCATGTATTCAGGACGACTTTTACAGATGTTGGGCATCACGGACAGGTATGAAATTCAACTGTTTAAACCAGTACTACTACTGTGTATTTCAGTGTTGTATTTATTGGAAGATGGAACTGTAGTCCACGGAGTAACAGTGCTTTTTTTTTCAATCATGGAAATTAATACAGAAAAATACACAGCGTGTTTGAATCTAGGCCAGATGTGGAGAAACAGTCACACAGTATTTCACTTCAGACTTTACATGATATCTTGTTAAATAACTACAGCTTGGATACAGTTAACCTTTTATAGTTGTGGTATACAAACAATTACTACTAAACATTTCTCAGGCACAAGTTGGAGGTGGGGGAGATCTCATCATTCAAAGCAGAAAGTCTATAGTTAGAGTAAATGGTCTGATAGGCATTTGTATAAATGTGCATTTTAACGAGGGGACTGGTTTTACAAAAACTGCATCGGGGTCTCCCTGATCATGTCCAAGTTGACTTGGAACTTTGAAGTGCCCATTCTGCATCTAAAAGGATGTTCACTGCCCAGGTACAAGTAATGTGCCTGCTTCAAAATGAAGCAAACTTATCAAAACATGATGGGTTGAAATTATAGAGCATATGCTTTAAACTCAAGCTTTTTCCATTTCCCCTTAGGCATTCCTTAACCAGATGTCACGGGGGTCAGACAATCAGCAGCAGCATTCTTGAGGACATGCACAGAGATGGGCAGGTTTGTTTATAAATGGACCATTTATTATTGAAATCAAAGCTTTACAAAACTTTTTTTTCTTTTGCAGGCTCTCCATCCAGCTCCACCGGCTGCTGAGGTTTTGGCCAAGATGGGAAATACCTACTGGTGAAGTCATCAAGGTAGAGTAACCCACATCTTCTCCCTGCTATAAGGTGAAGATGTGGGTTACTCTACCTTGATAGGTATTTTCCCATCTTAGCCAAAACCTCAGCATTTAAAAAATAAAAAATAAAAAAAATTACAATTTCCAGGCTTTGTTTTTGGTTTTCAATAAAACTATTATGACTGTAAAACTTTCTTGTTCTGCTTTTAATATCAAAGATGACAGGCACTGGTGCAGGTCCTAGCTCCCCTGTAGCACTAGATACAGTGAAAAACTAGACCTGCACCAGTGCCATTTAAAAAGGGGACATGGTGAAACAGCCCGATTTGTAGGGGCCACACATTGGAAAAATGTCTTATTCTGCACAAGGCTTTCATGAGGGTTGACAGCAATAAGTCTTCCCAGTTGTGTCCAGGTCATCTTGGCTTCAAGACAGGCTGTGGGGGAATGTGCAAAGAAAAACTAAGTGTGGAGGACACTCCACTGAAGCACGCAATGAAATTAAGAGGTGCAGTGTTAAGTATACAAATATTAAGCAGGGTTATTACTTTAAAGCCTAAGGAATTGTTTACATGAGTTTTATAGCAGTATGTTAATTGCACAGAAGTTTTCAAAAACAAGACTGAATACCTGGATGGAGTCACGTTTCTTTGCAGCATCAAGGAAGAATTCCAGAGCCATGGATGCCTGGTTTCTGGCCATTTGGAGGATCAGAACCTGTGACATCAGTTAACTCAATCAGCTTACAAGTTTGTCCACAGTGAATTTAAAAGATAATTCTACTTCCCTGCTGTTTGACTTGAGAGCAATGGTCAATGACTATGTTATGACAATGTTTGCCATAAACATTACAGATAAAACAAAGTTTTTACTAAAGCAATACAGCCTGTGCACTTTTGGTTTAAGGCACAACAACAAAGCTTCATTATCATCCAGTAAGTGAAACTGTTGCACTACAGTTCATTCTGACCCTGTGGACAATTGCAGAGTGAAAGCACTAATAAAGACACTAACATGCACACCATACAGTTGTCTTAAAACACCATATATCAAACTAGGAGGTTTGTCAGTGGAAAAAATGGGTCAGATTGGAACAAAGAATGAAATGTATGTAATTACATTGTGTTAGATTTGAACATTTCATTACAACTTATAACAAAGTTGCTCAAACACTTTTGAAATTAGTTTGTCAGGAAAAAAGAGCAGAGACATTAGTCTGCCCTGAACCTATCAGTACTAGTATAGTACTCTCACTTGAACCAACACAACTTTAAAATATGTTTTTCACCTCATCAACTTGCGAAGTCCATATGTAGGAGTGACAGGGCCCTGAACACTGTCGGTCCTCCTCAACATGCCCGAGGATATTTAAGCTGTACGAGTCCCATATTCTTGTCCATGCGTTCTGTGGCCTATTGAAAGACACAGATAGATGTCCGTAAGGTAAGGCAGACGGGCACCAATGATCTTGCTGGCTGTTTTCACTATGCGTTGCAGGGTCCTTCTGCAGGAGGCAGTACGAGCTCCGTACCACACAGTGATGCAGCCAGTGATGACACTCTCAATGGTGCCCCAGTAGAAGGAGCACATGATGGGGGGTGGGGCACTGGCTCTCCTCAGTTTGCGGAGGATGTAGAGGCATGTTTGAGCTTTCTTGGCCAGTGTTGTGTTGTTGTTGGTCCAGTAGAGGTCCTCAGAGATGTGGACCCCCAGGAACTTGGTACTGCTCACTCTCTCCACTACAGCACTGTCGATGGTCAGTGGTGGATGCTTTAGAGGTTCCCTCCTGAAGGCCACTTACCCTTCCCCACACTGAAGAAAAGGTTGTTGTCCTTACACCACTGGACCAGTTGGCACACCTCACTCCTGTAGTTGTCCTCATCATTGTTGGTAATGAGGCCAACTACAGTCATGTCATCCTCAAACTTGACAATGTGGTTGGTGCTGTAGGTTGGCACACAAACGTGGGTCAACAGTGTGAAGAGAAATGGGCTGAGCGCACACCCCTGCAGAGCCCCTGTGCTCAGCGTGATGGTGTTGGAGATGTTGCTGCTGACCCCCACATTTTGTGGCCTTCCTGTTAGAAAGTCCAGCACCCAGTTGCGGAGAGAGGTTTTGAGTCCCAAGTGTCCAAGTTTTTGTGTAAGCTGCTGGGGAATTGTGTTGAATGCTGAACTGAAGTCTAGGAACAGCATTCGCACATAAGAGTTCTTTGAATTTAGGTGGTTGAGGGCTGGATGGAGAACAGCAGTAATGGCATCCTCTATGGATGTGTTTGACCTGTATGCAAACTGAAATGGGTCGTGAGAGGGAGGAAGGATGGACTTGATGTTCTGCATGACCAGCTGTTTGAAGCACTTCATAATGACTGAAGTCATTGCTTCCGGCCGATAGTCATTGTAACTGGTTGGGTGGTGCTTCTTTGGAATTGGAATTATTGTGGCAGACTTGAAACACGTGTGAACAACTGCTTGGCTCAGAGAGATGTTAAAGATGTCCATGAGGACATCCTTGAGCTCCTCGGCACAGTCCTTTAAAACATGACCAGGTATGTTATCCGGTCCAGCTGCCTAGCGTGGGTTGGTCCTGGAGAGGGTCTTCTTCACGCTGGCTACGGACAGACACACAGCCTGCTCGCCCAAGGGAGGGGTGGTCTTCTGTGCTGGTGTGTTGTTCTGTGTTTCAAAGTGGCCAAACAAGTCATTGAAGCTGTTCAGTAGAGAGGAACTGCAGGTTTTAACACTTCCACATTTGCTTCACTTCTGAGCCTCAGAGGTTTCTGCTTGGTGCCACTGTTTGCACGATGTGGACAGTTGTGCCTCCAAATCTGATCGTCACAGAATCAGAAATCTCACAGCGATCGGCCGTTCACCGGTCAAGGCTGATCACTCTGAAAACTGGCCACTTCCAGTCTCCACTGATCAATCAGTTCATCTGTAATTGCTAGTACACTGGAGGTTAAAATGGTAAAATCCCTCTATTACAGCAGCTCCTCTTTGGTAGATGTTCTCAGTGCCTAACTATGTCTGACATCTGCAGAAGTCTATATTTTACATGTCAATCCCTAATACCTCTTCTTTATCCTTCTGTCCCACCACCACTCCCCCGGGGCCAGGTTGTGAACTGGTGGAGTTGCTGTTCAAAGCATAAGCATTGTGTAGGCATCTGCCCTGCTGTCAGGCAAGACGACCCGGCGTAGGCTAGATGAGCAAACCTATCCTGCAGGCTTTTGGGCGATTAGGTTTTCCTACGTGCCTCTAGGTCGATCTTTTTTCAGCAGTTAATAATGGTTCATGTTACACTGGGATGAACCAGTGTGGGTGGATTAACAGATAATAGGCAGTGGGAAGACATGGTAATAAGACACGGTGAGCTTTTCAGCTGAGTGACCCAGTGTGGGAGGTATGCAGGCAGGCTCTGATAAGGGCCAGACTGCTAACTGTTTCCTCCAGTTCCTACGGAATGCTAATCATCAGCAGCAGAAGACGGTATTGGCTGGGTTCCCCTTTTCTTTGGCATCTTGCATTTCTCTC